GGAGGAGGAGGCATGATAGTGCAGAACACCTTTAAATGATTCGCTTTATTTCACTCAATGTTACACTCAGCGAGTGAACGCTAATCATCAGCCTGTCCTCTCAGTTAATAAGTCAAATTTATAACACAATTGACCAATCCGTAAAAAACGAGACATAATTATCAACATTAAAACATCGCAATTTTGACGTTTTCTCTACATCGGCCTCGGTAAGTTAGATAAGCCTTGGAATACAGTCATTATAAAATTAAAATTAATATAATATTCAATATCCATTATTTTATGCAATTTTTTTTTTTTGTCTTTTCAGGTAATTTTCGAATTCACGTGACGAATAAAAAGGCAGAATGCAGGAGAGGTACGTACCGTTCTGTAACACCCGGTTGGGTCTAAAATCTGTACCTGTATGGACATTATGGCGTCACAGTGACGTCACACCGCATTCACCACATATAAAACACATATATATATATATATATGATCATATATGATCAGTTATTTTCGTTGGGTTGAAAACTCTCCCAGCAAATATAGAATCAAACCACAAAATTGTATTTACTTTAATACAACTTTGTAACAATGTAATCTCAAAAATATATTTACATTGTTACAAAGTTGTATTAACATTATCGCAAAAATTGTATTAACGTTAATACAACTTTGTAACAATGTAACCTAAAAGTTGCATTAACGTTAATAACGTATCGTCATTAAATACCATATTATTTTTCAGTGTCCCATAGAAAGACCTGATTTACATCTGATTGGAGGTTTGCCGTGTCCTCTATGTTGTCTACTCTCATGAAGATCCTTGTGTCATCTGCAAAAGGATGATACAGTACTATAGATTGTGTCCTTGTCAATGTCCGATATGAGGATGAGAAAAAGTACTGGAGCAAGCACAGTACCCTGGGGGACTGAGCTCTTCACGGTTGATGGGCTGGATTTGATTTTGTTGACTATTACACATTGGGTTCTGTTAGTCAGGAAATTGTAGATCCATCTGCCTATTTTTCAGGTAATTCCTTTTGAACGTATTTTGTGTACAATAACACCATGGTCACATTTATCAAAGGCTTTTGCGAAATCTGTGTATGTTAATTACATCACCATTTTGCTTGTCTTCCAATGGATCTAAGACCATTACACACGGCCTATTGACATAGCTCGAGTGCAGGGGGGAGTTGTGTAAAACCCTGGTTTGTGCCTCGGAGAGGCTGCAGGATCCAGTAAGTTCAATAGAACTTCGGTTTCAACTCCTTTTTGACCATGTCGTAGCTCAGTCGATTAAGGCAGCGTCTGGGATGCTCTCGGACGCAGGTTCGAATCCTCGTCACGGCCCTTGTGGATTTGTTCATCTAAGGCCATGTCATAATGGTGGTCCATTCGAGCAACATCAGAAAATATGATAGACTACTGTTCAGTGGTAAATCTTGTCGCAGGATATGTGGGCCGCTCCAAGCACCAACAGCCTGTTGGACCAAGCTATCCCAAGTCAAGCCTGGCCCCGGGTGGTTGCGGTCCAGGACTCTCGAAACACCCTCCAGGTATGCTCTAGGTATACACCTGACACGAACATGAAGTCAAAACACCATGACCGGCCTAGTCTTTTTATTTGCCAATGCGTAACAAATGCAAACGTTTTCCCTAACCAGAAACGTACACAAACCCAACCAACCCACCTAACCTATTGAGGCCAGTGCATGGAAAAAGTTAGATATTTCAGAGTATAAATTTGTACTATTGAGTCGTATTTAAACAGCTTGATCGATTGCGTTCAAATTGCAATGTATTTACCTTATAAACGATCAGGTTATAGGCTGTTGGTTTGCTACAGCTTTGTCCTATTTCCGGAAATGATGTATATAATGGCTCGGGAGAATTATAGACTATACCGACTTGGATTAACTGCGTCGTTAGAGTGAAGAATTATAGGTGTTGGCACGTCAGCATGCACTCTCTCTCTTAAGTACTGAACGACATGATTTTATTATATGTATGTATATATATATATATATATATATATATATATATATATATATATATATATATATATATATATATATATATATATATATATATATAATATCAGAACACTCTTGACCCCTGAATGGTGTACTGGACACACCTAGGGGTTTGGAGGTCCTGGCTGTCCGGGTTCGAATCCTTCAGGGGGTGAAGAGTTTTCTCATATATAAAACATGCCAAACCAGTTCTGGAATATGCAGCTGCAGGAGAATGTTCTTAATATCTTTCGAACACAAAACCAGAGAAAGTCCAGCGATATGCCACCAGAGTAGTACGTCCGGAGCTGAGAGGTACGAGTTACGAGGACAAGACTTAAGATGTTTATATATATCCTCACGTAAAGAGACGATTTCGGTGTGTGTGTGTGTGTGTGTGTGTGTGTGTGTGTGTGTGTGTGTGTGTGTGTGTGTGTGTGTGTGTGTGTGTGTGTGTGTGTGTGTGTGTGTGTGTGTGTGTGTGTGTGTGTGTGTGTGTGTGTGTGTGTGTGTGTGTGTGTGTGTGTGTGTGTGTGTGTGTACTCACCAAGTTGTACTCACCTAGTTGTGTTTGCGGGGGTTGAGCTCTGGCTCTTTGGTCCCGCCTCTCAACCGTCAATCAACAGGTGTACAGATTCATGAGCCTATCGGGCTCTGTCATATCTACACTTGAAACTTTGTATGGAGTCAGCCTCCGCCACATCACTTCCTAATGCATTCCATTTGTCAACCACTCTGACACTAAAAAAGTTCTTTCTAATATCTCTGTGGCTCATTTGGGCACTCAGTTTCCACCTGTGTCCCCTTGTGCGTGTTCCCCTTGTGTTAAATAGACTGTCTTTATCTACCCTATCAATCCCCTTCAGAATCTTGAATGTGGTGATCATGTCCCCCCTAACTCTTTTGTCTTCCAGCGAAGTGAGGTTTAATTCCCGTAGTCTCTCCTCGTAGCTCATACCTCTCAGCTCGGGTACTAGTCTGGTGGCAAACCTTTGAACCTTTTCCAGTTTAGTCTTATCCTTGACTAGATATGGACTCCATGCTGGGGCTGCATACTCCAGGATTGGCCTGACATATGTGGTATACAAAGTTCTGAATGATTCTTTACACAAGTTTCTGAATGCCGTTCGTATGTTGGCCAGCCTGGCATATGCCGCTGATGTTATCCGCTTGATATGTGCTGCAGGAGACAGGTCTGGCGTGATATCAACCCCCAAGTCTTTTTCCTTCTCTGACTCCTGAAGAATTTCCTCTCCCAGATGATACCTTGTATCTGGCCTCCTGCTCCCTACACCTATCTTCATTACATTACATTTGGTTGGGTTAAACTCTAACAACCATTTGTTCGACCATTCCTTCAGCTTGTCTAGGTCTTCTTGAAGCCTCAAACAGTCCTCGTCTGTTTTAATCCTTCTCATAATTTTAGCATCGTCCGCAAACATTGAGAGAAATATTGAGTGTGTGTGTGTGTGTGTGTGTAGATTTGGGTCTGTTTAAAGAGTTTTAGTAAAGACAAATGCGAGTTACATTAGGCAAGAGCATCACAAGTGGATGAGTGAGTCAGAATGCATAAGTTCTGGAGAGTATGAGTGAATGAAGGGGGAGGGGGAGGGGGGTTAAGGTGAGTGAATGAGAGAGAGAGAGAAGAGCGTGGGTGAGGGAGCCCGGGGTGTGAGGCGAGGCGCTGAATGAGAGAGAGAGAGAAGAGCGTGGGTGAGGGAGCCAGGGGTGTGAGGCGAGACGCTGAATGAGAGAGAGAGAGAAGAGCGTGGGTGAGGGAGCCCGGGGTGTGAGGCGAGACGCTGAATGAGAGAGAGAAAGAAGAGCGTGGGTGAGGGAGCCCGGGGTGTGAGGCGAGACGCTGAATGAGAGAGAGAGAGAAGAGCGTGGGTGAGGGAGCCCGGGGTGTGAGGCGAGACGCTGAATGCGTAAGGCCGCAGTTATTGTTGATAATCTGTTCACTTGAGACAGTTACGCGCGTCCCAGCTGCGTCTGAGTTAAAGCCCAAGCTGAACTCCAAAGCCAGAGGGTGCAGGCCACAGGCTGAACACCAAGCCAGAGGGTGCAGGCTGCAGGTTGAACACCAAGCCAGAGGGTACAGGTCACAGGCTGAACACCAAGCCAGAGGGTACAGGTCACAGGCTGAACACCAAGCCAGAGGGTACAGGCCACAGGCTGAATACCAAGCCAGTGGGTACAGGTCACAGGCTGAACACCAAGCCAGAGGGTACAGGTCACAGGCTGAACACCAAGCCAGAGGGTACAGGTCACAGGCTGAACACCAAGCCAGAGGGTACAGGTCACAGGCTGAACACCAAGCCAGAGGGTACAGGCTACAGGTTGAACACCAAGCCAGAGGGTACAGGTCACAGGCTGAACACCAAGCCAGAGGGTACAGGCTACAGGTTGAACACCAAGCCAGAGGGTACAGGCCACAGGCTGAACACCAAGCCAGAGGGTACAGGCTACAGGTTGAACACCAAGCCAGTGGGTACAGGCCACAGGCTGAACACCAAGCCAGAGGGTACAGGCTACAGGCTGAACACCAAGCCAGAGGGTACAGGTCACAGGCTGAACACCAAGCCAGAGGGTACAGGCTACAGGTTGAACACCAAGCTAGTGGGTACAGGCCACAGGCTGAACACCAAGCCAGAGGGTGCAGGCCACAGGCTGAACACCAAGCCAGAGGGTACAGGCCACAGGCTGAACACCAAGCCAGAGGGTACAGGTCACAGGCTGAACACCAAGCCAGAGGGTACAGGCTACAGGTTGAACACCAAGCCAGAGGGTACAGGCCACAGGCTGAACACCAAGCCAGAGGGTACAGGCTACAGGTTGAACACCAAGCCAGTGGGTACAGGCCACAGGCTGAACACCAAGCCAGAGGGTACAGGCTACAGGTTGAACACCAAGCCAGTGGGTACAGGCCACAGGCTGAACACCAAGCCAGAGGGTACAGGCCACAGGCTGAACACCAAGCCAGAGGGTACAGGCCACATGCTGAACACCAAGCCAGTGGGTACAGGCCACAGGCTGAACACCAAGCCAGAGGGTACAGGCCACAGGCTGAACACCAAGCCAGAGGGTACAGGCCACATGCTGAACACCAAGCCAGAGGGTACAGGCCACAGGCTGAACACCAAGCCAGAGGGTACAGGCCACAGGCTGAACACCAAGCCAGAGGGTACAGGCCACATGCTGAACACCAAGCCAGTGGGTACAGGCCACAGGCTGAACACCAAGCCAGAGGGTACAGGCCACAGGCTGAACACCAAGCCAGAGGGTACAGGCCACAGGCTGAACACCAAGCCAGAGGGTACAGGCCACAGGCTGAACACCAAGCCAGAGGGTACAGGCCACATGCTGAACACCAAGTCAGTGGGTACAGGCTACAGGTTGAACACCAAGCCAGTGGGTACAGGCCACAGGCTGAACACCAAGCCAGAGGGTACAGGCTACAGGCTGAACACCAAGCCAGAGGGTACAGGTCACAGGCTGAACACCAAGCCAGAGGGTACAGGCTACAGGCTGAACACCAAGCCAGAGGGTACAGGTCACATGCTGAACACCAAGCCAGAGGGTACAGGCCACATGCTGAACACCAAGCCAGAGGGTACAGGCCACAGGCTGAACACCAAGCCAGAGAGTACAGGCCACATGCTGAACACCAAGCCAGTGGGTACAAGCCAGAGGAGAAATACACAACAAGCAGGTTATCATCCCTTTGGGGGACTTTGTATTTTACTGAACACTTGGTTGACCTCGACCAAATATACTTTATAACAAGTTACCGTACCCCGAACAAGCTGGTGGCAGGGTGTGGCGTGGCAGGGTGTGGCGTGGCAGGGTGTGGCGTGGCAGGGTGTGGCGTGGCAGGGTGTGGCGTGGCAGGGTGTGACGTGGCAGGGTGTGGCGTGGCAGGGTGTGGCGTGGCAGGGTGTGGCGTGGCAGGGTGTGGCGTGGCAGGGTGTGGCGTGGCAGGGTGTGGCGTGGCAGGGTGTGGCGTGGCAGGGTGTGGCGTGGCAGGGTGTGGCGTGGCAGGGTGTGGCGTGGCAGGGTGTGGCGTGGTAGGGTGTGGCGTGGCAGGGTGTGGCGTGGTAGGGTGTGGCGTGGCAGGGTGTGGCGTGGTAGGGTGTGGCGTGGTAGGGTGTGGCGTGGTAGGGTGTGGCAGGGTGTGGCGTGGCAGGGTGTGGCGTGGCTGGGTGTGGCGTGGCAGGGTGTGGCGTGGTAGGGTGTGGCGTGGCAGGGTGTGACGTGGCAGGGTGTGGCGTGGCAGGGTGTGGCGTGGCAGGGTGTGGCGTGGCAGGGTGTGGCAGGGTGTGGCATGGCAGGGTGTGGCGTGGCAGGGTGTGCCGTGGCAGGGTGTGCCGTGGCAGGGTGTGGCGTGGTAGGGTGTGGCGTGGTAGGGTGTGGCGTGGCAGGGTGTGACGTGGCAGGGTGTGGCGTGGTAGGGTGTGGCGTGGTAGGGTGTGGCGTGGTAGGGTGTGGCGTGGTAGGGTGTGGCGTGGTAGGGTGTGGCGTGGCAGGGTGTGGCGTGGCAGGGTGTGGCATGGCAGGGTGTGGCGTGGCAGGGTGTGGCGTGGCAGGGTGTGGCGTGGTAGGGTGTGGCGTGGTAGGGTGTGGCGTGGCAGGGTGTGACGTGGCAGGGTGTGGCGTGGCAGGGTGTGGCGTGGTAGGGTGTGGCGTGGTAGGGTGTGGCGTGGTAGGGTGTGGCGTGGCAGGGTGTGGCGTGGTAGGGTGTGGCGTGGTAGGGTGTGGCGTGGTAGGGTGTGACGTGGCAGGGTGTGGCGTGGCAGGGTGTGGCGTGGCAGGGTGTGGCGTGGCAGGGTGTGTCGTGGCAGGTTGTGGCGTGGCAGGGTGTGGCGTGGCAGGGTGTGGCGTGGCAGGGTGTGGCGTGGTAGGGTGTGGCGTGGTAGGGTGTGGCGTGGTAGGGTGTGGCGTGGTAGGGTGTGGCGTGGTAGGGTGTGGCGTGGCAGGGTGTGGCGTGGCAGGGTGTGGCGTGGCAGGGTGTGGCGTGGCAGGGTGTGGCGTGGTAGGGTGTGACGTGGCAGGTTGTGGCGTGGCAGGGTGTGGCGTGGCAGGGTGTGACGTGGCAGGGTGTGGCGTGGCAGGGTGTGACGTGGCAGGTTGTGGCGTGGCAGGGTGTGGCGTGGCAGGGTGTGACGTGGCAGGATGTGGCGTGGCAGGGTGTGGCGTGGCAGGGTGTGGCGTGGCAGGGTGTGGCGTGGCAAGGTGTGGCGTGGCAGGGTGTGACGAGGCAAGAGTGTGACGTAACAGGTGCGTGACCTGGAGTATACCTAGAGTATACCTCATCTTATGTCTTTCCCGTTCCTAAGAATAGCATCTAAGACACATCTGAACATTCTTGAACGTCTACGGGGCCGAGTCACCCCGTTCTCTTAATAGGCCGCGTTTTCGACGTTGTGGTAACCAACATTACTAATGCAACTTACTGTGGTAAGTTACGGTTCTCGAATATCTTACGGTTAGGTTAGGTTAGGTTAGGTTAGGTTAGGAGGTTTGGATTTTTGACGGAATGGCACATGAAGTGAACGGGCCACCCAAGTTGAATTATATATATATATATATATATATATATATATATATATATATATATATATATATATATATATATATATATATATATATATATATATATATATATATATATATATATATATATATATATATATATATATATATATATATATATATATAATATATTGCCAGCTGGAAGTTGGTGTGGGAGGGGGTGGGCGGGGCCTCCACCACGCCCACCATAAAAGTGGGCGTGACCCGTGTCACCAGTATATGGGTGAAGGTCATCCATGACATTTACACTATCGGGACGTAGTGTATGGGACCCGGGGGGGGGGGGTAGGGGGGGGGTAGGGAAGGAGGGGGTCTTTATCCCTATATATTGCCGTGGTAACTTGTACTCACCTAGTTGTGCTTGCGGGAGGGTTAAACTTTGGCTCTCTGAACAAATCCACAAGGGCCGTGACAAGGATTCGAACCCGCGTCCGAGAGCTCTCTTCCATGTTCTTGTATAGAAGAAGAAGAAGAAGAAGTAGAATAAGAAGAAGAAGAAAGGAGTGCAGCTTCTACTGCAGTTTTGATTCACGGTAATTAACGCTAAAAAAAAAAATAGCTGGATTAGGTAAGGTAATTATCAGGCGAAAGCACTAAGCCAGCTTGGCTATCGAGAATGGCGCCCAAACCACATGGAGGGTCGGGGATTGAACACCGACCTGCAAGAAACGAGACCCCTCGCTCTACCGTCCAGCTTAAGTGGTTGGAATTGATAGATCAAGGTTGTGACTGAGTGAGTCACAACCTTGTTATATGAAATATAGTCACATTTCACTAAGGTTGTAAAAAGCTCAGTGATATAGACGCAAAGTCTTGCTTACTCCATCACGCGATGACGCAAGACAGTCTTGAAGTGCGTACGCAATTGACTTACGCTGCTGGTGTAAATAAGCACTTGAGCTTTCCTTACACTGTGAGAGTCTGAGAGAACAGTTGCTAGTGGGCGTTGGCGTTGGTTGAGTTGGGCGTTGGGTAGTGGTAGGTTAGGTAAGGCCGTCGCTGGCTTGTGCTGGGTGGTAGGGGTGTGGGTGGTGCTGGGTGGGTGGCATAGGTGGTTCTAGGTGGCGCTGGGTAGGTGTGGGTGGCACTGGGTGGGTGTAGGTGGCACTGGATGGGTGTGGGTGACACTGGATGGGTGTGGGTGACACTGGGTGGGTGTAGGTGGCCCTGGGAGGGTGTAGGTGGCCCTGGGAGGGTGTAGGTGGCACTGGATGAGTGTAGGTGGATGCAGGTGACACTGGATCGGTGTGGGTGGCAACTTGGGTGAATTTGGTGTGGGTGGTAGCGTGGTTGGAGGGAATGTGAGTGGCACATTGGAGTGGAAAGAAGGGGGGGGGCGTGGGTGGCAGCATGGGCGGAAGGGGCGTGGGCGGCGGTGAGCGGCGCTGGGCGTGGGTGGCGCTGGGTGGGGCTAACCCTATTGTGTTTATATGAATGGGGGGAACAATATTGACCCTCCAACCCAAGGTTACCACTCTAGTCCTGCACCCTCATGGTTGTGGGGGGGGGGGAGGCGGGGGCTCGTAGATCATGGTTATGGGGGGGCCTCGTAGATCATGGTTGTGGGGGGGGGGGGGGGGCTCGTAGATCATGGTTGTGGGGGGGCCTCGTAGATCACGGTTATGAGGGCCTCGTAGATCATGGTTATGGGGGCCTCGTAGATCATGGTTGTGAGGGGGGCCTCGTAGATCATGGTTATGGGGGCCTCGTAGATCATGGTTATGGGGTCCTCGTAGATCATGGTTATGGGGTCCTCGTAGATCATGGTTATGGGGTCCTCGTAGATCATGGTTATGGGGTCCTCGTAGATCATGGTTATGGGGGCCTCGTAGATCATGGTTATGGGGTCCTCGTAGATCATGGTTATGGGGGCCTCGTAGATCATGGTTATGGGGGCCTCGTAGATCATGGTTATGGGGGCCTCGTAGATCATGGTTATGAGGGCCTCGTAGATCATGGTTATGGGGGCCTCGTAGATCATGGTTATGGGGGCCTCGTAGATCATGGTTATGGGGGCCTCGTAGATCATGGTTATGGGGGCCCCGTAGATCATGGTTATGGGGGCCTCGTAGATCATGGTTATGTGGTCCCCGTAGATCATGCTTATGGGGGCTCTCGTAGATCATGGTTATGAGGACCTCGTAGATCATGGTTATGGGGGCCTCGTAGATCATGGTTATGGGGGCCTCGTAGATCATGGTTATGTGGGCCTCGTAGATCATGGTTATGGGGGCCTCGTAGATCATGGTTATGGGGGCCTCGTAGATCATGGTTATGGGGGCCTCGTAGATCATGGTTATGGGGGCCTCGTAGATCATGGTTATGGGGGCCTCGTAGATCATGGTTATGGGGGCCTCGTAGATCATGGTTATGGGGCCCCGTAGATCATGGTTATGGGGGCCTCGTAGATCATGGTTATGGGGGCCTCGTAGATCATGGTTATGGGGGCCTCGTAGATCATGGTTATGGGGGGCCTCGTAGATCATGGTTATGGGGGCCTCGTAGATCATGGTTATGGGGGCCTCGTAGATCATGGTTATGGGGGCCTCGTAGATCATGGTTATGGGGGCCTCGTAGATCATGGTTATGGGGGCCTCGTAGATCATGGTTATGGGGCCTCGTAGATCATGGTTATGGGGGCCTCGTAGATCATGGTTATGGGGGCCTCGTAGATCATGGTTATGGGGGCCCCGTAGATCATGGTTATGGGGGCCTCGTAGATCATGATTATGTGGTCCCCGTAGATCATGGTTATAGAGGCCCCGTAGATCATGGTTATGGGGGCCTCGTAGATCATGGTTATGGGGGCCTCGTAGATCATGGTTATGGGGGCCCCGTAGATCATGGTTATGGGGCCCCGTAGATCATGGTTATGGGGCACTAAATAAGGCTGGGAGAGCCTGAAGGACTCACAAAACATAACCTTGACCTAAATAACCAAGCCGATGCCTCATAGACAATCATAGACGTGAAAGACAATCTGCCTTCACATGTAATATACTGACATTCTGACGCAGTCGACTAAAGCGTCATATTTTCGTTTTTTTTTTTTTGTAATTGAAAGCGCAGTAAAATAGGTACCTGGGTGTTAGTCAGCTGTCACGGGCTGCTTCCTGGGGGTGGAGGCCTGGTCGAGGACCGGGCCGCGGGGACACTAAAAGCCCCGAAATCTTCTCAAGATAACCTCAAGA